TCTTTACACTTTCTTCAGCTTGTTCGTCTGTTTTTGCGTGCTTCCTCGCGTCTGAACTCCTCCTATATTCTTTACTTGTCTCGTTCCGCAGGTTTTCCAACGGCCTACAAACGGTGTGCAGGCTAACCAGGCTGAAGGCAGCACCTCTCCCAGCAATCCGCAAGGGTTTGTCGTCAGCTCCGAGCCGAGCGTCTGCGATGCACTTCTTGCACTTTCCGCCCTTATCAATTCCTCTGGTCCTGCGGTTTCTCCATTTGCCGGGGAAGTGGCGGATCTGCTGGTGCTGCAGATGCAGCACCAGCACGAACCGCAAGAAGCGGCATCGACAGAAGCTGCTGCAACCGCTACCACGCCAACAAACGACAGCAGCACCCCAGACGAGCTACAGGCTGCGCGCATATGTATAGAGCTTGTCGGTGACCTTAGCCGGGCGCTGGGGACGGAGTTTGGAGGCCTTTCGGATGCCCTTCTCCACGAATTTTACCAGCTACTCAGAGTATGCCTATTGCAGTCGTAGACTATAATGATGCAAATTGCTGTTTGTTGGTGGCGTGAGTACCTAGGGCTGCTTTCTGGGTTTTAGATTGTTATCTTTCCATACCCTTATATCTTCTCGTCCGATATAGGGAGATATGACTTGTGCGTTTGTCTCATTTTAGGCCCCTTCGGTGGACAGGTCTCTGAAGCCAGTTGTGATTGTCGCAGTCGGAGATGTAGCATTGAGCCTCGGGGGTGCGAAGTTTGCGCGCTTCGCCCCATGGCTGATTGAGTTGTTGGTACAGGCGGGTGTCACCCCATACGATGCGGGCCCCCCCAACTGGCAAGTAAGTTGTATTCATAACGAGACTATTTCCTGTACTCTAGGTTTATCCAAGGCTCATTTTATCCTGAATGTAAACGCCGGGGGCCCTTTGCAGTGTCGTTCATTTTTTCATCTCTTGTGCAGTGCCGTTCATTTGTTTTTGTTTCAGTATCTGTATGCCTTTGTCCCTGTTTGTCTTCATGCTTAGTGGGGGAAGGGTGACGCTTGTCTCCTGAGGTCAGTGATTCGCCAAGTGGTGTATTCCTTCCAATATGAATGTTTTATTGCTGCCTTTGCGTATGCGTGTATGGACAGGTTAATGAGGAGTGG